TTAAATAGGATTTGATTTGGTTTGATTTCTCACACATACACGTTTACATACATACATTATATATATATATATATTTTTATTATATATATATATATGATATTTATGGCATTAAATTGGTTAAACATTCATCAGCTCCACGCGGAATATTCAATGCACTGCGATTTAAATTGATGCAATAAAAAGTTTGATTTATTTATAAAATATTGTTATATTAAAAATTATTTATATAATGTATTAAACATAAATAAAATTCATACATAACACAACCCCTGAGTTGACAGGCCAATCAGATCCATGAATTCATTATCTGTGGGCCACGTGGACATATCAGAACACGTAATGATGATGATATAATTATGTCTACACGTAGACAACCTCGTATACGTACGCAGATACTAGTACATTTGTATTGTACGTATGGGCTTTGAAGCTCATTGATATAAAAATGGGCACAATTTAAATAAGCTTATAAAAAACATCGGCCCAAATCAGTTTAAGTTATGCCTTGATCTGTATCTTCAGTAATAACGCCGAAACGGCACCATTTAATAAGAGATCTCAAGCCGAAAATATACAAATGGGCCATATTAAATGGGCTTATAAAATTTGTCGGCCCAATTTGGTTTAAGTTGTGCCTTGTCTGTATCTTCAGTAACAACGCCAAAACGGCACCATTTAACTGCATTAAGGGATCTTAAGCCCAAAATAAAAAATAGGCCCAAATTAAATGGGCTTATGAAAATTGTCGGCCCAATTTGGTTTAAGTTGTTGTGCCTCGTCTGTATCTTCAGTAACAAGGCCAAAATGGCACCGTTTAACTGCACCTTCTTATTCTATATCTCCGGCACAACCGTTCTGATTTTTTCTCTCGAAGGGGAGGATTTGATCGATCGGTTGATTGGCGACATAAATGGCGTACGTAGATCACGCCTTCTTGATTTCTGACGAGGATATAATGATAGAAAGCTCGTATAGCATCAACAACAAGTCATTGATCAAGTAGATCGCCCTCACCGTATCGTTCTCGTTTTTGGTGCCCTATGCCTCATTCTCGGCGTCATTATGGCGGCCAATAATGTCGGTGGCGACCACACCCACGATATTTTACAATTTTTTTACTCTCGAAATTGCTTGCTTCCTTCTTGTTGATTGAATTGTTCTGTGTCTCTTTATAGATCAATTTTGTGGTGTTTTGTAGCTATTGTTCGTAGTGTGTTCTTAATGACTTATGTTTTAGGGTATATCTTCAGCCATTGATGAGCTTCAATCTATAAAACTGGTGCTGCCTTACGCACACAATTTTATAGGTCAGTTTTGCTCGATTTGTTTCTGCAGTCTGTTTAGTAGAAAAGCTTATGTAACTCTATCAAAGTGTGGTTCAAAGATAAGTTAGGTACAAAACCTCAATCTGCACAAAAAATTTTCCCAATCTTCTCATATCCAGTAAATTTCTTCATTCTGATTTGTTCATTTGCTGTCAGGCAGTCGAAGCAGTCTACAACCATCAAAAAGCTTCAAACTATGAAACTGGTGCTGCCTTTATGCACTCAAATTTTTTAGGTCATTTATGCTCGATTTGATTATGCTGTTTGTTAGTAGCAAAGCTAATGCAGCACCATCAGATTGTTCTTCAATGATAAGTTACGTACAAAACCTAAATCTCATATAATTTTTCCCAATTTTCTTCATATCCAGTAAATTTCTTCATTCTGATATGTTCATTTGTTGTAATTGATAGTCTACAACTAGGTAGATCCTTATCACCAAATAAGGAATTGAAAAGAAAGATATGGCCTAATCATTGGATAGATTGAAGATATTCATTTTAGTTGATGTTATATCACATTAATGATAAGCATTAAGAATATACAATGTATTCCTGCATTTAGCATTATGCTTTTCATTCCATTTTCCATTCAGTATATCATTCTCATCAGATGATCAAAAAATTTTCTATATCCTTTACAACAAAAAATGGGTCTAAATTTTTTCTTTCTGAAGTGTTCTTAACCACATTTATAGTTTATGAAACAAATCTATTTTCAGGTGTATTTTTTGCTATACTCGGTGGAATACTATTCCTTCCCGGATTCTATTACACACGGATTGCATACTACACCTACAAGGGGTACAAAGGCTTCTCCTTCTCCAACATACCTCCTGTATAGAGATGTTCAAGGAGTTCAAGCAATGTACAGCGACCCCTTTTTTTTCTGGTTTGTTGCTCTTGTCTTCTATCTTATATTTATCGTCTCTTCTCAATCTGATATGATATAGATGAATAATCTTATTTGTTCGTTTATAGAAGAATGAATCGAAATGATTTTAATTTACCGTTTTGTATTGTTTGCATGTACGGAACCCAAATTTACTCGAAATACTTGTCGCATTTCTTGGTGTACTTGAAATATGTGTTGCTCGACAGGGTTTAGATTCTAACAACATATATATGTCTGTGTCCTAACTAGGTTTAGACTTTGCAACAAATTTTTCATATTGAATTCCATTAGCAGATGTTAAAGACATCACATTTGATATTTTAGCTTGCAAGAATAATATTAATTTTACATCAAGGAATAGTACAAGCACTTTTAACACATAGTTGAGCCATATAGCTCAGGTTGCAGACATTGGCAAAAGCTTGGCCAGTGAATAGAGAAGATTACAGGAAACCGATAAGCTATGCTATTATATAAAACTTGATTAATGACTTTGTATTTGAAACTAAGAAACAGAACACCATAAATGAGTGACGGCAGTTGGTCTAAAAGAAAAAGGCAGATTGTAGGAAAGAAAATTATAAGGATTTTTTACCTGCCGATAAGAATGCTACACATTATGTATTTTGCCTGATTTAACCTATAGTTTTGCCTCAGCCTGATTCAAATATGACCCTATCAAGAGAAAAAAACATATGAATCAGAAAATGAACATCATATTGTCGACTCAGTGAATAAGGACATCGCATACATAGAATTCAAACTTTTTTATGTTACTTGGAGATATACTTTTAGTTATGAAAAGGGATTTTCCATGACAAAATTCTTTACCTCGTCGTCTATGCCTACTTTAATCACAGCCAATAGAAACCCTAAGCTAATATACTGACTCGGAACCTAAGGATTATCCCATGGCAAGACTCAAGATCTTCAAGGGTAACAGCATGGTCGAGAACCCTTACCTGATGACAATCATCTAAATAATGAAACACCAGCTAGAGAAAATTCATAATTTAAAATTAGAAAGAGGAAAAAGATGCAATAAGAATGTGCTCCACCAGAACCTGTTTTTTTTTTTTTTTTTTTTTTTGTTTTAACCAAGGTTGAATTAGATTCAAGAGACAATTACCTTCTTTCTCCTACACCCGTTTATTTTAATTAAGTTGTTCTCTTTACATGGTTAGCAGGAATGCTTTACCCTACGCCGACATGTACAACACCATCATCATGTCGAAGCTCCAATGAACTAAAATTGTCCAAATACGTGTGGAGCTATTTGAACCAAATGTAACAAGGCAAACTATCTTCCTACCCTTTTCTGTCTTTTAATTGATAAGTGTGAACATTCATAACTAAGAATGTGGTGCATAGTGCAACGTGTGCCTTGTTGATGACGGTGTAGATCTAATTATATAATGGAAAATATGTTCTAGATAGTGCAATGAGTGCCTTGTTGATGACGGTGTAGATCTAATTATATAATGGAAAATATGTTCTAGAAACTAATTCTCTGAGAAAAAATAGTGAAAAAGAAAGTATTTAAATCCACATTACAACATGTTGTCAAGGAAAAATTGAAATCAAACATGTTGAAAAAATGTCACAGAAGAAGACTAAGGAAGAAGAAGAAGCATTAGAACTGATGCAATGTGACTCTCGAGATGCTCGACTGACTTAGAGGTTCATGCCCAAATATTAGAATGTGAGCTTAAGGTTGAAATTTTGTTATAAGTGAATGAGCAAGTCTATTATCAATATCCGGCATAGATTTCGACCACAACCTACTGATGACTCCAAATATGAGCATATTCCTCGTTTGAGAAAACTACGTATTACTTGAATTTATGTATAAAAACTATCACAATAATTGATTTATGGCATACTTTATTGATCTATTTCGTTTGGCATGACCCAAAGTTGAGTTGTTGAGATTATTAACAATTTTTGCCCTTTTTAGCGGTGTTTTGGATCCGAAAAAGCTAAGGCGGATGAAACAAGCGATAGTCACTTCCGCTCATAAGCGATGACTCCATCACTCAGAAAAGCTAAGGCAAGAGAGGCAAGCGGTAGCTTCCACCGCTCGCAAGCGACACTCCAGCGCTCAGGCCAGCGACCAAACACCCACCGCAACGAAGCAACGGCAACTCAATTAAAATATTACCTAAGTGTCCAAACTGCAGCGGTACAACCATTCCACTACCAGCCAGCACAAGCAAGCCTGCTTAACTGCTTTTATGCCCTCCAGTCATCCGGCAAGCGAGGGAGATCTGCGCCCTTACAAGCCCACGCAAGCGAAGCGAGCACCTTGGGAGTTATGACCAGCAACTGTTTCAACAGAATAACCGTCACCAACTGTCTAACTACCTAGCGGTTGAAACCACTTTGTAACTGCATGCAACCGCTACTTCCACCTACTATAAATAGGGTCAGATATCTGTATGTAAAATATACTTCAAGAGGGGTATACTAGTATTTATTTTTCGCGCACTCTAGTTGTCTTCTTGTTTCCCTAAAGCTCCAACCCTGTAAAGGAGTTCTCCACAAGAATGGTCAAGGGAGTTAGATTTCTCTTCTCCCTTGGCCACCACTTTACTGCTTACTTAGATTAGTTTATTGCTTTAATTACAGTATTTGTAGAATTAGAAATTTCAGTTTTGGTAGTAAATAATGAAATATCATTTGCTCTTCATTATCACTTCCTTCACACTTTTCACACTTATATAAACCCTAATTGTAAAAAAATTTTATTTCACTGGTAAAGAACATAGAAAGATTGATTATTCAAGCCTTGTCTTTTGTCACAAACAGATTCAAGGTAGTTCAATGTAGTTGAGTACATGGGAGCCTTGTCGACCTGCTTAACTACTAGTTTGAATTCAATCTTGATTAAAAGAAGGTAACAAAAGGGTAAAGTCACTAATGAGGCATAATTCGGGATAATTAATGGGGCATAGGCGGTGGCCTATTGGGTCGCAGAAACTTCTAGTGACAGTATGGTTTATTTATTATAATATTCTGATTCTGGGCGTCATTGAAGTATTGTTGTAAATCTCTTAAGGTCAAGTACCAACGATAAAAATTCCTTATAATTTGATATATATATTTATATTATCGTCTTCTCCCGCTTCCGTATTATACATATATGTTCACTTAAACACCAGCACCACTATCTCACTTCCTCCAGAAAAACCTAGCCATTGAGTAACGCACAATTCAGACACAACACCTCTCCTTCAATCTCTGCCGCTCAATCTATATACATATATGTTGTGTCATCCGCTCATGTCCCTTTCGCTCATCCATCGCTGGCACCTCGCCCGCTCACCACCGCTTTACTTTCTACCGCTTTCCTTTCCAGCTTTCTTTAGATTAAAATTTAGACCCGCTTCGAAGCGGATCCTTTTACTGCATTTCCGCCGCTTTTATGAGATCGATGCTTGACTTAAATTCGTGACTTAAAATCCCTGTTTGGTCTGAAAACTCAATAGTTAATCAGTATAAATAACTATGATAACAATTCAGAGTCTACAACCATAAATTTTTACTATATCTGATTGCTCAATAATTCATTACATTTCAATCTTCGAACAAAAATTCTCTGTAATTGACTATACGCATCAAAACCAAGTTATCACCTACATTGGTGTTTTATGTTGTTATGTAACAATCTGTGTTCATCCATTTTACATAGTCATGATTCCTTACTTGTCAGAAACCAACTTAACTGCCAGACAATTATCCTCTAATCAAAGAGAGTCAATCTCAAATCTCAATATTTAGCTTTTACCATCCACAAATCTTCACACCTATCCAATGGCTTGTTCCATTTATAAGGAAAACACAATTGGACAGCTTAACACATAGAAATTACTGGTAAATAAGAACAACTCTGCAAAACTGTAAGCAAGCTCAATGGTGATTCAAAAAGCAGAGGCGAAGCTTAATTTTGGATCACCTTCCCATTGCTCTCGTAGTAATTATCCAGCGCCCACTGATATTTTGATTGATTCAATCCAAACCAGTGTGCCACATGTTCGTCCAAGCTCGTGTGCGCTGAGCAACAGGATATGAACAGTTTTGAGTTAGCGAAACCCTAATTCATTGCGGGGAAAAGAAAAAACTAGAAAAACTTTTCTTCCAATTTCGGCGAATTGAAACGTGCGTGCTAAAACAACATACCGTTTTGAACTTTGGTCACTGTATTCCAGAAGAAACCGAACGAAGAAGGTTTCTCTTTGTAAAACTGCGCCGGCGGCGCCATAACCGGTGGAGGCGAAGGGAGCTGGATCGGCTTTTGAAGCGGCGATTCCTCCTTCGTAGACGCAATCGGCGTCGCCGGAGGTGTCACGAACACAGTGTATGGTCCGATCTTCCCAATCCGCGGCGGCGGCGGCGTCGCTGATTCACTCCTTATTGGCATTTCTTCGTTGCGGTGAGAAGGAATTAAAGAACGGGAAAGGTAAATCCGGCGGCGGCGGTGGCGGCGGAGGACAAACGGAGAAGAAATGTAGGTGGATTTGGAAGGAAGGAAAGTAGTGTGCGGAAAGTGAAGTGGTACTGTAACAGTGTGAAGTGTGTGAGGGCCGTACTTGGAGTTGGAAGTAATTGTAATTGTCGGAGAAGAAGAAGAGCTTTTTCGGGATTTCACACTTGAATGGCACGACACCCGATGCTCGCGTGGGATCTTTCTCTAGCTTTTTATTTTTTATTTATTGTTAATACTTTAGGGTTTTTTGTTTTTTTTTTTAATTTGAAAAAAATTGTTTAAATTTGATATTAAAATAATGTTTGATGATTTATTTTGTGAAAAAAATAAATATATATTTTTTAAAAAATACATAGTACAAATATTAAAATTTGAAGAAATTGTGTTAAAAAAACAGACCCTAAACTTCCTCCTACCATCATTAAAAAACACACCCTAAACTTCCTCCTACCACCACCATTTTTTATTAGTGATATCGTATTTAAGTAAATATTTCTTTAGTCTTGGAATGGCCATGAGCCATTTTGTTAGTAACATAGTAAATATAGCTTAGTAAATTATAGAGTGATTTGATATTTTAAATATTTTTAGGATTATATTTTAATAAATATATGTCATATAGTTATTATTTTGTAAATAATAAAATTTTATATAATATAAATAAAAATTATATATTTAATTATTTATAATTCATTTCAAATTCATTTTATAAAAATTGAAAATTTTTAAATATAAATAAAATTATTTGTTTATTAGAAAAGAGATAAGAATAAAGTAGTTTTAAATGGTCTTACCTATAGGAGTTAGAAATTTAATTTTAGAAATTTAATATAATTAATTTATATTTGTTAAGTATTATTATTATTATTATTTTCTTGTATTTTGTTGGTTCTTATATTGCATCGCATGTGTTCAGTTGTTGAGAGATTCTTTGATGACCAAACTGGTATATATATATGGTCAAATGTGTCTGATTTTTATTTTGATTTGGATTTGGATTTTGAATTTTTCAGTTAAATAGTGGTAAGATGTGATAAGTATTTTGTATAAAAAAATAAGTAGTTTTTAAAATTAGAATATGTTATACATACATATATATATATATAGTAATTTAGAAAAAATTATCTTTATTTTATTTTTTGGTAATTTATTTTTTCTCTCTTATATAAAATTACATTTATATTCATTTTAAATTTAATATAATATCATATTAAAAATTATTTATTATTTAAAATATCAAATAAAATATATATTTATATTACATTGTTAATGATTTTAATTCAAAATTGTACTAGTTATAAAAACAAATCCAAACAAACCAACTTTTTTAATATGATGATGATTTTTGTATGTATAAATATTTGTTTAAATAAAATAATTGCATGTGATGTTTTATTAAAAAATAAAAAATAAATAAATAATTTTACCAAAATAATAAATTAAACAATGGTTTGAATAAAATAATTACTAAAAATAATACTTTTTCTCTCTAATAGTTTTCTTTTAATAATTATCAATCATCGCATAATTTACAATATTACTATTCCTAAATTTATTTACAATCATACTATTTTTTTAAAAAAAATAATATAAATATTTTTACACAACCTAACTAAATAATACAAATTTCTACTAAAATATTACACTTTTCGTCTCATTTAATTTGTCGACTCTTTTTATTTCAATTCGTCCAACATAATTTATCTTTTTTTTTTCAAAAAATATAATTATATACTTTAATCATATTTTAAAATTCTTAATTTATAATTTTTTTATTTTAACTAAACTATTTAGTCATTTTAATCTTAATTTATAATTATTTTTATTAATTAGTCTCTTGATTACCTATTAATTGCACAATATCTAAAACTCTCTGACTAAGCAAAATACCACAATTTAAGTGGGATGTTGATAGTAATATATTTTAATTTGTGTGACTAAAACAAACATCTATGTTATAAATATGTATATATATATATAAATATTTTATATGTAAATTAAATTATATTCTTCTTATTGTGCTTCTGTCCAAATTCATTTTATTATTGGGCGGACGCCTAGCTCTATTGTGGGTCCATGTGATAGTATTTGTTTATAATTAGTAATAATTATAATTTTAAAAATAATAATAATCTCGCGTAAATAATTGGTGAGTGGTGAAAAAAAAAAGGGGTAAAAAGAATATATTAATTTTATCAGATTATTTGTTGATGCAACCTAAATAATGATTTTTAGAGTAAATTCTGGTAAGTGTGGGTGGGGAATTATTACACCTTTACTGATTTTTATTATCAATTTACCATTGTTGAAATATCCCCTAATTTGTTACATTTTAAGTATGGACAAAATTTTCCATATATATATATATATAATATTTCAATTGCCATATATTTTTCATTAGATTGTGTAGACTTCTCTAATTTAGAGTTTGCAAAAACTAACCAGACACTCGACATAAAATAATTGGATTTTGGTCAAATATTTCAACCCGATTATATATATGGATTAATACGAACCCGACACGATAGCAAACGGATCAGGTTAGGGTTGAGGCTCTCAACTCGAACCCGACACGATAATTCGATTATAATATATTAATATTGATTAATATATTCATTATATATGTAAAATAATCATAATTTAATAATTTCCTCATAAATTAATTTAAACTAAGTTTAATTACACTCAAACCAATAAAATCTAACGACAACACAACAAAAAATTATTTAATTTAAATCAAGAAATTCGACTTAATTATGTATACCGGTCAACACGAGTCAATCCGAACCCGACACGATAATAAACGGGTCAACTCGAACCCGACATGATGATAAACGGATCGGGTTAGGGTTGAGTAATTTAACTCGTTTAAAATATTCAACTCGACACAAACTCGACACGAATTGACCAATTGCCAGCTCTAATCGTATTATTATTTCATTGTTATTATTATTATGATTAATATTATTATTTAATTGTTTAAATGTTCATATTTGAATGTTTTGAATTATTTTCAAGAACACTTTTAACCTTTGAAATTTAGAACAATATTTTTCTTGAATTTTTAACGAATGCATCGGTTGTATTATTTAGGGTGTGTTTGTTTGAATGATTTGGGTGGATTTATACTATTCACACAAATTTTTTTCAAAAAATCAAATCAAACTTTTATATTTTATTTTTTATATTATATTAAAAATCAATTTTACATTCAAAACATCAAATCAATCGATATTTATATCACATCATATAACTATTTCAATTTAAATTTTTTACTATTCAAATCTCAATCCAAAATTCAAACCCCAAAGAAAGACACACTTAGTGTATGTTTTAATTTCACGTGATTTCTCTCGTAAGACTTTTCAATTTTTTTTGTTCTTTTTAAAAAGTAAATAATAATTTAACTTCTCTTTTTTTTTTTTTTTCTTTTTTTTTTAATAAACATAAAGTCAAATTTAATATTAATGTTTTGACTTTGTAATTTCATTAGATTTAATTTAAGAGAGGAATTGATCATTTTCTAACAAATTCCTAAAAGAAGATCTTCATGACCTCAACGTAACCCACTAGTCTAACTTATATACAAGTATATCAAAATTATGAAAATAACAATGATAATATATATAAAATAAAATAAATATATATATATATATAAAACTCTTTAAAAAGGACCAATTTCAACAAAATTAGATTTTCAAATCTTGCCTTCTTTATTATCATATGCTTTAGCAGCGTTTGCAATATATTTAAATACTATATTCTTATTGAAATTTATGTATATTTCATAGGACATAGATTTTAATAAAAATAGATAAAATTAAAAAAAATCTTTTATACTAAAAAATAAAAAAATTGATAAATATATATTTTTTTACTTGAAAAAATGAAAAAAAAATATATATATCTTTTTTTATATAAAAAAACATAAATTTAGATGATTTAGAAAATAACCATTTTAGTGTCAATATATACTAAAATAAAACAATCCTTATTCCACCCATTCAAAACTATATATACTTTTTTATTTATTTTTTATCTATTGAAATACAAAATATGTATATAATTAGTAAATTTGGCCATATTATATATTATAAATAATTTAAAATTTATATGTATTTATTATTAGTATTATATCAAATTAAAATATAAAATAATCCAAACATTATTTTAAATACAATAATTTCAAATTCTAAATCAGAGGTAAATACTAATTCAAATTATAGAGTTTGTTTTATTATAATCTAAAATGAATGGATAAATTAAAATTTTTATTTAAATAATATTTTGATTTATACTTATTTTATAAAAAAAAAAAATATATTTCATTAAAATCGTGTAAAATAAATAATATTTTTAAATTTATAATAATAAAGAAACAAACTCATTATATATATGTACGTAAAACTCAGTGCAAAATATTGGTAAAACAGTAGCGTCAACGCCAAACTGCATCCAACTATTTATTGTCACATTTATTTTAATATCGTAAAAAAATAATGTGACAAATATCCCTAATATAAAAAATATTAAAAATAAAAATCTGACAACATATTAAATACGATACAATCCCTTCTCTGCACAAAAAGGCGTTACTATTATACAGCCTAAAACAGTCAACCCTGCCCCAGCCCAGCCCTGAACTAACTTTTTTAAATATTAATTATTATATATATACTTTATAGTATATTGGAATATTGTCAGGGGGGCCCACTTGGGGGCCTATATAAGGCGGCGGGCTGGTCCAAAACAGTCTCCATTCGCAAAAAGGTTTTTCTGCAGATTTCTCTCTTCGCTTCGTCGAGTAAGTGAAGATGAACAGTCGGTGAAAGGCTAAGGCTAAATCGGTCGTTTTCCTTTTTTTCTTTCGATTTGTGTTTTTTTTATTTCCTTATCGTATCGTTTCGATTCTGTGTCCGATTTTGTTGTAGAAGAGGCGAATCGGAGAGCACGAGGTTGCCGTGAGCGAAGATGGGGATAAGTCTCGAGGAAATCAAGAAGGAGAATGTTGATCTGGTAATTTTAATCGTTGTTTATTACAATTTTGTTATGCGATTTGTGGTTTTTTCGTTGTTTATTGCAATTTTGTTACGAGATTTGTGGTTTTTTACGCTGTTTATTACAATTTTGTTATGTGATTTGCGGTTTTTTCGTTGTTTATTGCAATTTTGTTACGAGATTTGTGGTTTTTTTTCGTTGTTTATTATAATTTCGTTACGAGATTTGTGTTTTGTTCCTTTTTTTTTTTAGATTTTAGTTTAGTTTTCTGTTTTTATTTATTTAGTTATCTGATTTTGTTTAGATTTTAAAATTGATTTTGATTTTGTGAATGATTTTGAAAATAGTGTAAATAGAAAGAACAATCTGTGGTTCGGACATCGTTGAGGTCGATGGAGTCGTAGACATTCACTTTGAGTGCTCCTAATTGTTTGGCAGAAATCTGCGTTTTGTTCCGATAATTACGACGTTGTATTTTCAGGAGTGTGTAATGGAATTCATTAATAGTGTTGAAATTGCGGTGTCCTAATCCAATCTGCAAAAAAAAAAAAAAAAAATAAATAAATAAATAAAATAAAAGGAGGCCATTTTGGGTAAACATGAATAGACAAGCATCAGCTTTACGTCTTTGGTCTGTGATTCGACGAGATTCCGAAGAACGGAACGGATTTGTTTGTTTGGTGAAAATGAGTAACCTCCTCCATAATCATTAATTACGAGTATTTTTTAATAAAGAATAATATTTATATATATATATATATGAAGCGCGTGTCTCTCACTGTGAATAATGCGCGTGAAGGTTTGCAAAGCCGAAATTTGTGTCACTACGGACTGATGGGTTCACCTAGGCTGATTGTCTACATCGTTGTACGGATCTCTGATAATTGTGTTATTCTTTTCAATGTTTAAGAATAGAACGACGTACGTAAACATTATTGTATTGTATTTTAATTTAATTTAATTTTTTATTTTATTTTTAACTAATTGGGAAGGAAGTTTGTATGTTTTTTTTTTTTTGTTTGGGTAAACACGCCTATGTTTCTTTTTACGTTTGGATGTTTGAATTTTTTATTTAAACAATATTTAATTTAATATTTATTATATGAAAAAGTATATATTTTTTTTATGAAAAATACAAGTACGAATAAACTGTGTAAAAATATTACTGTACATCCTTAAGCTTTCATTATAGAAGAGTTGTGTATAATTACTAATTTTGATAATAGTAAAAGATCAAGGGTGTGTTTTTTTGTGGATTTTAGTTTTTGAATTTGTATTTTTTAATAGTAAAAAATTGAATTTGAATAGTTATTCGATACAATATAGGTTTATATGATATTTTGAATGTAAATTAAATTTATAGTACATAATCTTAGTATTTATTTTTTGATATCTCAGAGAAAATTTTGAAAATTTGGTAGTGACTATTTTATTTATGTAACAGGAGAAAATCCCGATCAGGGAAGTGTTCGATCAGCTGAAATGCAGCCGGGAGGGGCTGACAAGTCAGGAAGGCAACAACCGGCTGCAAATCTTCGGACCGAACAAGTTGGAAGAGAAGAAGGTTAGTTTCCGACACACATTTCATAAATTCCATACCATCCTTACATTACCATTATTATTTTCATCAAATTCTTACACCACCACCAACAACTACATTGTCTTCAATATCATATAATCCAGGAAAGCAAACTCCTCAAGTTCCTCGGGTTCATGTGGAACCCTCTCTCATGGGTAATGGAGGCCGCCGCCATAATGGCAATCGCTCTTGCCAACGGCGGCGGGAAGCCTCCCGACTGGCAGGACTTTGTCGGAATCATCTGTTTGCTCGTCATCAATTCCACCATCAGTTTCATCGAAGAGAACAACGCCGGCAACGCTGCCGCTGCCCTTATGGCAGGCCTCGCGCCGAAAACTAAGGTACGATGCAAGAACCCCGCCTCGTAAGGACTTTGAGTTTGTTCTTTTTTATCGACACATGTTTTGCCAAACAGGTCCTTAGAGACGGGCAGTGGAGCGAGCAGGACGCGGCGATCCTGGTCCCGGGAGACATAATCACGATCAAGCTCGGCGACATCATTCCCGCTGACGCTCGTCTCCTCGAGGGCGACGCGCTGAAAGTTGATCAGTCGGCGCTTACGGGGGAGTCGTTACCGGTGACGAAGAACGCGCATGAGGAGGTCTACTCGGGGTCGACGTGCAAGCAGGGGGAGATCCAGGCAGTGGTCATCGCGACGGGGGTGCACACGTTTTTTGGGAAGGCGGCGCATCTCGTCGACAGCACGAACCAGGTGGGTCACTTCCAGAAGGTTCTGACAGCGATCGGGAACTTCTGCATTTGCTCGATTGCCATCGGGATGTTGATCGAGATCGTCGTGATGTACCCGATCCAGCACCGGCAGTACCGGAGCGGGATTGACAATCTCCTCGTCCTCCTCATCGGCGGAATCCCGATCGCGATGCCCACCGTGCTGTCTGTCACTATGGCGATCGGATCGCACCGGCTGTCGCAGCAGGGTGCCATTACTAAGCGAATGACTGCGATCGAAGAAATGGCCGGGATGGACGTTCTGTGTAGCGACAAGACGGGGACGTTGACTCTCAACAAACTTACCGTCGACAAGAACTTGATCGAGGTTTTCACCAAGGGCGTTACGCCGGATGAAGTTCTGCTCTATGCAGCGAGAGCTTCTAGAACCGAGAATCAAGATGCTATTGACGGCGCCATCGTTAACACCCTCGCTGATCCAAAAGAGGTATCTTCTGTTCTTCGTTTGTAATAAAAGGATCCGATTGAATCGGGAAACTAATGATTCGAAATTTTCAGGCGAGGGCCGGCATTCGCGAGGTTCATTTTTTTCCGTTCAACCCTGTCGACAAGAGGACGGCCTTGACTTACATCGACGGTAAAGGGAACTGGGAACGAGCTAGCAAAGGAGCACCCGAGCAGGTCGATTTTCTTGTCGTCGTTTCTTCATAATCAGAATCTGTCATTTTTCGCATACTAAAATCGCCTTCTTTCTTCGTACCAGATCTTGACTCTCTGCAACTGCAAGGAGGACATGAAAAAGAAGGTTCACGGCGTCATCGACAAGTTTGCCGAGCGTGGTCTACGATCCTTGGCCGTTGCAAGACAGGTGAGATACGATACACCGCAGTATATTATCCTTCGAGATGATCTCTTACCCGATGCTCTATATACAACAGCAAGTGCCGGAGAAATCGAAGGACTCGCCCGGCGGTCCATGGCAATTTCTCGGGCTTTTATCGCTCTTCGATCCTCCGAGACATGACAGCGCGGAAACCATCCGCAGAGCTCTAAATCTCGGTGTAAATGTCAAAATGATTACCGGTATGCGATCTTGAACAGCGTCAATGCTTCTGAGTTCGATCTGTACTTCACATACCGTTTTCTTGTTACCGAAATTTCAGGCGATCAGCTTGCGATTGCGAAGGAGACCGGACGTAGGCTTGGAATGGGAGTAAACATGTACCCGTCGGCTTCTTTGCTCGGCCAACACAAGGACGAGTCAATAGCTGGCCTCCCGGTGGAGGAACTGATAGAGAAGGCAGACGGCTTTGCCGGGGTCTTTCCAGGTTCTGCATTTTGTCGCGCTCTTTTATCCCGCCGTAACCTTCGAGGATTCATCATTTTCCTTTTTCGTGAACGCAGAGCACAAATACGAGATCGTGAAGAAGCTGCAAGAACGGAAGCATATCGTCGGCATGACGGGAGACGGTGTCAACGATGCTCCTGCGCTGAAGAAGGCCGACATCGGCATTGCCGTCGATGATGCTACAGATGCTGCGAGAAGCGCTTCCGACATCGTCTTAACCGAACCCGGTTTGAGCGTTATCATCAGCGCCGTGTTGACGAGCAGAGCGATCTTCCAGAGAATGAAGAACTACACGGTTCGTGTCTCGTCCTAAACATCGTCCGAATTCTTACTCTTTTCGAACCTGCATTAAGCCTCTTCATCTTTCGCTTTCGCAGATATACGCCGTCTCGATCACCATCCGTATTGTGGTAAGTTACACAGCGCCATTCGACGACGACGCACAATTTTTTTTCCCCGTTGGCTTCTTACTTACATCGTGTTACATGCCATTCTTTTCTGCAGTTTGGTTTCATGTTCATCGCCTTGATCTGGAAGTTCGATTTCTCGCCATTCATGGTCCTGATCATCGCCATTCTGAACGACGGTATAAAACCAAGCCTCTGTTTATCCAATGTCTTGGAACTGCAATGAATTGATCGATAACTCTTGATATATATACAGGTACGATTATGACGATCTCCAAGGATAGAGTGAAGCCGTCTCCAATGCCGGATAGTTGGAAGCTGAAGGAGATTTTCGCCACTGGAATAGTTCTCGGAGGCTATCTTGCGGTGATGAGCGTCATCTTCTTCTGGTTAATGCACAAAACCGACTTTTTCTCTGTAAGAATCCTATAATAAACTGTATCCTTCCGATTGTTTCTTCGAAGGAACTCTGAGTAATCCGACTATACTGAAAATGTAGAGAACGTTTGGAGTTCGCAACATCGGTCAGAGTGAGGAGGAAATGATGGCTGCATTGTACCTGCAAGTGAGCATCGTTAGCCAAGCACTTATCTTCGTGACAAGGTCGCGCAGCTGGTCGTTTCTTGAACGTCCCGGATTGATGCTTGTCTTCGCCTTCTTAGCCGCGCAGCTGGTAAAGTTCTTGATCTGATGTATTTGAAAGATTAATAATCATCATCTAGAGTACTTACTCACTCGGCTCTCGATTATATGTTCCAGATTGCGACTTTTCTAGCCGTGTACGCGACCTGGCCTTTTGCGAAGATCAAAGGTTGCGGCTGGGGATGGGCCGGAGTGATCTGGATTTACAGCATCGTGTTCTACATCCCCCTCGACATCATGAAGTTCGCCATCCGCTACGCCTTGACCGGAAACGCCTGGAAAACTCTGTACGAGAACAAGGTAAGTTTAATTCACACCATTGCTAGAAACAAATTAACAATTGCTAAGCTTATTTCTCGATTGATCAGACTGCATTCACGACGAAGAAAGATTTCGGGATAGAGGAACGGGAGGCACAATGGGCGCTCGAACAGCGAACGGTGCATGGACTTCAGACGAAGGAAGCTGCGAATCTGTTCCAGGAGAAGAGCAATTACAGAGAATTATCCGAAATAGCAGAGCAGGCCAGGAGGAGAGCTGAGATTGCTAGGTAAGGATTTTACCAGTAGTACCTTCTTGTTTCGATTTCTTCGAAATTTTGATCTTAACCGTGTCGTCGCAAAACAGGCTCCGGGAGCTGCACACGCTCAAGGGCCACGTTGAGTCGGTCGTGAAGCTTAAAGGGCTCGACCTGGAGACGATCCAGCAACACTACACCCTCTGATTAGTATCGACAAAAAAAATGAAATGACTGTAGGTGAGGAAAGGAGTGAGTATTCGTACCTCAAGTAAGAAATTTCAACCTTATTGAGAACATAGCTTTTTTATCTCTTCCCGTTGTCGTTGGATAGCCTAAGCGATCCCAACTTTGCTGCTATCTGTCGTATGCTCGATTTCGAATAAGATATATATATATGACATTTAGACGAGGATATTAACATTTGGTAGCTATATTCGATCGAAATGGTTTCTATGCATATATATACGAACATGAGGGGCTTTTAAGATTACAACATTTCTGCGAAAGTTCACTCGAGAAACAGAGAATTGCTTGTTTATGTTTTCAGTAGTCGTCGTCGTCTTCTCTTGATCTGAAGAATCTCCTAACGACACCAGAAACTATACTGAGAAAAATAATCAGAGCAAAGAGATCAAATCCGCCGCCAACACCAACTGCGACACTTGGACCGGGGGCGAAGAAGGAGAACGGGGACCAACCCCAACCCCCGTAAAATGGCGCACCATAGCCGTAACCGTATCCACCAACTAGCGGAGGAGCAACTGGCGGGTTGATGAACACATTAGTCCTGCAATTGAAATGAGACAAAATCGAGTTAAGCTCTGAGCTTGAAATTTGAATATTTATGTTCAAAGCGATAATAGCAAAGCATGCAAAAGAATAGTAAGTAATCCTTATGTTACATAATTTAAATGACGGTCTAACCTAAGGTTTGAAATGGACAATGACAAATAGGGAGCGGTGAGATTCAAATTTAAGTTTATCTGATACTACATTAATTGATGGAAATGATGATACCATGTTAGATGTTACCATGTCTCAATTCAAAATACTTTCTTACCATTTTGTCCAATTTTAAAAAAGTAATAGTATTTTAGCTATATTTAGCTAACAAAGATGTTCAGCTACTTAAGAAGTAAGCTAGTAGAAAAAACTACCTCGAACCGCCGACTCTAGGTCCAGATGCTCGCGGCGGCGCCGCCGGCGCTGAACGGAAAGCCTGGCCGCCGACTCTACCGCCACTCTTTCCGGCCGAAGCCGGATCGACAGAGCCTAGCGTCAACACTCCTGCCGCTACTGCAACCAGCGCCAATTTTACCAAACGGTTCTCACTTTGCCTGTCATTGGAAAAGCAACAATTCGCTAGAAATTACAATCACTATTATCAGTGAAATCAACTAAATCTGACCTCAACGAATCACTATCATCATCCGCCCCGCGCCTGCACGACACCGAAATTCGCTTTGCAGGAACTGGAAGAGCTCCACGTTGAAGCTTGAACGTCGCCGCAACTGGATTCGAGAGGAATTGAGTCTCCAGTAAAGTAACCGTCATCTTCTTCTTCTTCTTCTTCTTCTGCAGGAATTGAATTCGATCAAGGTGGAGATTATGGCGAATTTTGCAGCTGCTGTTTCTAGTGGCGTCCTCCCAAATTCGATATTATGAGTTGATGGTTGTCGACAAGACACGTGTATGCACGCAATTGGACAGAAGGGAAGCTTCCAGAACATCGGAACTTCCCATCCAAAATTCCCTTTTACTAAGTAATTAAATTTAATAGAATTTGTTACTTTTTTTTTAAAAAAAATGTTTTAATTTTTATTATTTCGATTCTCCATTAATATTTTTTTATAAAATATTTTATTATATTATTATTTTAATATAAAATTCAAATCAATTTTTTTAAAAAAGCATCGAACCAAACATAATTAACACATTATTATATGGAGTATATAATTTTTTTTAATCATTAGAAAATTAACAAGCATTTGGACTGCTGACTTACTGTTCTAAAATCCAATTATTACTATTTTAATTTCCACTTGTGTGCTAAAAATCATAAATTAATTTAAAATTGAACAAGTCAAACGTGATATTTTGAGCACTTACAATTTATTTATATTGGAGTATTATTAGACACGTGGCAATATTTTATTGGAGGAAAACCGAGACAGGAGGGACGACTCAAGGCGTAAGTGCAGGCGCATGTGCCGGACGTGGAATTTGTAGGTTGACTCCGGAGGGCATTTTAGTCCTTTTAATACTGTAATGTAGTGTTAGTGCTTTTTAGTAGGTGAAGATACATAAGCCTATAAATAGCGAATAAGAAAATTACAAAATAAAAAAACAAAAATGAATGAAGTTAAATATGGCATCTTACATTTCCTATTACAGACTTACGTGATTTTCGGCCGGTTAACCGGTGGCGTCACGTCGGCGCCGGCGCCGGTGGAGATAGCCAAGGGAAATGACGGTCTGGAGAAAGTCATCCTTCGTCATGTCCGCGGCAGCTCAGCGGAGGTAAGATTAGGAATTTACGGTTTTTTTGTGTGTGCGCGCTAATAGAGGCGATTATCGATTTCCACTTTACGGTTTTCATTTCATTTCGACTTTGTTTTGTGGAGTGTGAAGCGGTGAAGCGGTCAATCTCTTGCGATATGCATTTTGGAAACAAATGTGATGGTTCGGTGTTTGCGATTTAGATCTGTGCGAACTCGTATACCATGCCGATTTGTTGTGGTGCTTTTGTGGCGATGTAGTTTAATGAGGCAAGGATTTTAGGCGTTGCATTTTGGCGCTAGTTGTTGATGTAAATTTCTTCTCAGGTTTTGGGTGCAATACTTTGCCTCATACTGTGCTGATAAGTTGATGCGAGAAGCCTGAGAAGCGAATTCCACATATTTTAAGTTTCTGTAATCCATTCAATGTGATGTTGATTTCCTGATCGAAACTCTTTCTGAGATAATCGCATGAAGGATCGATCTGTTCCAGAAATTTTACATAGAATTGACAACTGCATGCCGTGGCAGACCTAATCTTCCCAGAAGCACAAATTTACTTGGTCAATGATTGGGAAAATGTCGTTTTATTGATAGGAACTATGGTTTAATACAACAATAATTTTTAATAGCAATCGTATGTAGTCTTTATTATTTCATATTACTATATGCTAATTTTAAGAAAAAAAGTTCTTTTGAGAGTTCTATAATATATCTGTTTTGACTGTATTTTTTTTTATTATAAACTTGTTTTCTCTTGTTTTACAGATATACCTTTATGGCGGGCAAGTAACATCATGGAAGAATAAGCATGGGGAAGAGCTGCTTTTCCTCAGTAGTAAGGTATTTTATTTTTTATTTTTTTATTTTTTTCTGAGCTGCTGACGATTATCAGTAACACTGTAAGATGAAGGAACCAAACATGGCAAAAATATCTCATGACTGTGAGCTGATTTTTCAGTTTTAACTACTCAATGCTATTTGATATCATCATTTAGAAATAGGAAAATCCTCTGCCTTCCTATTGTATGTCTATGAGCCGCAGCTAGAAGTTCATTTGTCCAATTTACGAGCTGGCACGGGTGTTGTTTAAGAATGATGAAGCATTGAAGAAGTCGGCTTGTCTTTATGTATTGTTGTTTGCTTGATCGATACAAAGACAGGAAAGTTCAGTAGTTTAGGAATGAATCTGGTGGATTATCTCACCCAATGTAGCATATATTTGATTTTGTCCACTTTCTTCTGATAAATTTGCTTAAACTTATGTCTGCGACTTCACTGATCTTCCGAAAAATCTAGACTTGCTGCTTCTTTATCCCATACTATTCTAGCTTGAGTTGGAAATGCTTTCGCTGTTGTGGAATAAAAGTCTTTTTATCTTAATGCACATATTTAATTTATTGGGAGCTATTAGAGCATGATCCACTTTTTCGGGAATATGAGTCTAAGAAATATCAAGAATATTTATAGTGAACCATCTTTCAGAGAGATGGCTTACTAATAGAGTGAGAGCTAAGTAATTCGATTCATTCTTGTGAATGCATGGATTCCATATTATGCAAGGAGAAATTGCTTTTGCTAAATCGAATTGAAGGGTGATATAAACTTGGTCTATTTTCGGCATTATATCCATAGTTATTGCATTCATTATAGTTAGCAATTGCCGTATCAAGGTTACCATCGATATTGTCACAAGCATCGATATTGATATCCTCAATCAGAAATCCTTTAGGTTTGTTATCCAGGAACTTGTTCAAAAATACTGTAAGGAACATAAGAGTTTGCTCGTCTAATAAAGTCATGTAATTGATGTATTCGAATTCCCCAGGCTTTATTTACACCACCAAAGCCAATTCGTGGGGGCATCCCTCTTTGCTTCCCACAGGTATCTCCTCGACTTTGTTACTCCCACGATTGCTCACCTCAGTATGAATCATGGTACTGATTAATGAAGCTTTTCTGTAACTTGCAGTTTTCAAACCTCGGCCCTCTGGCCTCCCATGGATTTGCAAGAAATCGGCTCTGGATGATCGACCCTTCCCCACCTCCACTCTCGACTAATTCTCCCAAAGAGACATCTGTGAACTTGATTCTGAAGCCTACCGAAGAAGACTTGAAAATTTGGCCTCATAGGTAGAGAGATGATTCTGTTTGAACACTTTCTGCTGCAGCTGAATTTGATTTTTTGATATGTATCTTCGATGTTTTTTGAGCAGATTTGAGTACAGACTACGCGTAACTTTGGGACCTTCCGGAAATCTGATGCTGACTTCTCGCGTTAGGAACACTGATGCAAAGCCTTTCACATTCACATTCGCCTATCACGCCTACTTCTCTGTTTCTGATATCCGGTACTCCTCAAATCTCTTCGATCAATGCTTCGATTTCATTCACTATCTAACTTGATGCAATTCTCCCACACAGTGAAGTTCGTGTCGAAGGATTGGAAAAGCTCGACTACCTTGACAACCTGAAGAACAGAACACGATTCACTGAACAAGGCGATGCTGTTGCATTCGAATCTGAAGTAAGTCTATAGAGATTACACACCACTTTTTAACATTAGGAAATAACTATTTTTCACCTAAAAACTTAAATTGTTCCGGCTCTGATATCATGTTAAATGACCATATGTAGGTGGATAGAATATATCTAACTACGCCTCCAAAAGTTGCGATTTTGGACAACGGAAGGAGTCGAACATTCACCGTCCGTAAAGATGGCCTTCCTGACGCCGGTAAGTCCAATGGAATCTGTTTGTTTAACCATCCCCGATTAATTCAGGTCGTGAAATGTGATCGATCGTCTGTAGTTGTTTGGAATCCTTGGGAGGAGAAGGCGAAGACGATATCTGATTTAGGAGATGGCGAGTATAAGATCATGGTGTGCGTCGAAGCATCCGCTATTGAAAAACCGATCGCTTTGAACCCCGGCCAAGAGTGGACGGGAAAGCTCGACCTTTCTTCCTCGCATCCCCGCGATCCTCGGGTTGTTCTTCGAGGAGATTGAAGCTTCTTATGGGTAACATTTTTCTGCACCAACCATGTAAATTAGTTCATCTATCATTCAAATTTATGTTCACATTTTTTTTTTTTCTTTCGAGTTTTATAAATATATATATATATATATTTGTACTAAGTACCAATTATTACACAATCTCGTGGATGCAGGTGGTTATGTGATCATCGTTTCAAGTCATCTTCCTCGTAAGGAATTATCACTGCTACCCGAATGTTCGAGGGCAGGTACGTATAGATACATACATACGTGTGTGTGTGTATATATATATATATATTTATATATGAGTTTGATTGATATAATTAATGTTGGGTGGTGTTAATAAATTGATGGAATTGGTATAAAAGTTTTCGATAAATATGCAACGTGAGGGGCGCATGTGCATGTGCATGTGCATGTTTCGTTTTGGTACACTGTATTGTCATTGTTTCTATTTTGTAATTTTATAAATAATTTACTAGTGTTGGGGGGGTAGATATAAGATGAGAAGAAGGCCATTCTAATCGAAAGAATTTTCGAATTTGATATTGTCTTTGTCCACTATAAATGGACTCAAAAATTTTAGGTAATTAGAAATTTTATATGATTGGTAAAGATATAATGTAATAAAATATGAAGGGTGGGTTAAATTAAAAAAATATATAAAATCCATCTACTGGTATAGATGAAAATATATATAAAAAAAAAAGACAATAAATATTATTAATTCAAATTGAGAGAGAGTAATATATTGTCGGTGAATAAATTTGAACACTTTGTATGGACAAAGTAAATAGCATTTTGAGCGTAAGTAGAAAGTAAATTAGTAAGAATAGGAATAGTATTGAGGTTACAACAACAATAACAAATCTAACTGTTAGCCATTACATTACACCTAAGAAAGGCCTGTTCCAATTTCTCAATAAACAACACTAAACTACAAGTTACTAAAACCGGGCCTTTCAAATAATCACATCAGCAAATCATAACACAAACCAGAAGTTAACATAAACCCCCCCAAAAAACCAAAAAATTCCTGTAATGATCGGTCATGTCCTGTTCAAGCTTAGATCCTGCAGCAGCCAATGCGGCTGCTTACTACTATCCCGAAATCCCGTCGAACCGCCAATATTCGATCCTGGTTCGCCACATTCTTCTCCTTTACCCGTCCCTATCGACGAGCTCAGCTCGCCAACCTGATCAGAATTGCTCGACCTTTGCTTCCTCGAGCAGTGCCCGATCCCGAGCGTCAGCTCGACTTCCACATCAGTATTAATCTCGTCGTGATAATGGCGAATGCTCGACGACGACGGGGCACTCTCGTTCCGCCGTTCCAAGTCGAACTGAATCGGCATTCGCATCGTCTGATCACCCGAGCAGCTACTGCTCACTTCCCTCGCCTCGTTTCTACTAATGCTGCACCGTCCCTTTTCGACTTCTTCCATCAGTTTCCTCTGCAGATTGTATATACGGTGCAGCTCCTGAACCTGTTGTTCAAAATCGAACTCATTGTCGTATTCAACGACATAACCAACTTTCAGACAATAGAATTTAACTTGAGGTGTGTTTTTTTTCTCTTTTTTCGCTCACCTGGTGTTTGAAGATCTGTTCTTGCAAGAGTATCGTCTTTCTCATCGATTCCACGTTCGAGAAACCAAGAATCCTGTCCATTCGGAACAAAATAAACTCCTTCTACAGCTTGATATGCAGCAGCAAATATTTCACGTTCCGTGGAGCTCGACTCATTTAGTCAATGGCTCTTATCGATTTGTTTCCAGTAAGGTTGTCATCACCTGAAAGACAAAAGATTGTGGCCACTTAGACATCAACAAAGTTTAACACAACCTTGTCCCTCTCAAAAACCACATCATTGCAGCTTCCGGAGATGCCCGAATTTTATTTTTTCTCCAAAAGATCGAAAAAAGACTCAAAAGCAATCTGTGGGAAAGGAACCAACACACATAGACAGACACACACATATATATATATATATATAATACATAACTTTTAAAGCATGAGACACAGTAATGTGTTTTTAATTCAATCCTATCAACAACTCTTTTGGCATAATTAAATGTGGCATCATCCAGAGTCTTATCTGTTCTTTGCCTTAATGCAACTTTTAATAATGTGATAAAATTCGGTGGCTGTCACGAAATCCACAGACTATTTTTCGAAGCTGTTTATGTAATGGAAAAGTCAAAAAAAGGAGGCCCCCGAATTCTTTTTTCACGACATATAATGGATTCCAGAAGTGACCTAATCTGGTAGTTGGATTAAACACCATTCACATATCTAACCTTAGTCTGTCTGTTTCTTTGAATCTTGAATCAGACATCAACATATATTGCATATTAGATCTGATGATATCTTTCCTCCCTATGTTTAAAAGCTCCCGAAACTTAAATTTCAAAAATTCAGGGAATTTCAGATGGCAGAAACAAGAAATGTAAACAAACCAGATAAACAAAAACAGAACGAACAACAATGATCGAAAAATGAAAGTTAAACAAAGATACCTGAGACTGAAAGGAATCATCCTCGCTCGTCAAATACATGCCTCTTTCATCAACAAGCTTTAGCTGTGAGAAAATTTTTCTAAGATTATCATGCAATGAAACAGCTCAATCAAAGATAATATATTGGACGAGAAGCAAGACAGCCGTGTGTTTGTGTGTCTCTTGCCAGGCCAAACTACAAAGGCTCGGTATACTTTTCTCAGACAGGCACCAAACGAAAGCGAATTAAGACAACATATGTATGGCTGGCTTTCGAAAAAACCAGCAGTATAATCACTAGCCAGGTCAAGAATACAAAGAAAAGAGCAGAGGCTCTATACTTTTCTTGAGGAAACAACAAATCAATCTCTACTAAAACAATGACATATTAAAATTCCCCCACCTTAGGGATCCTTTTGGACTAATAAATAATTCAGGCTGACAGGCTGGATTGTCTATGAGCATGTGTTGGTGTATTAGAGAGAGAGAGAGAGCAGCTGTTGCTAGGTAGAATAAACCTGTTTAGTTTAATGGCGTCGTCGTCGTCTGCATTGTGCTTGGGAGTGTTGTGATTTAAGGAAGATCATTTGATGGGCCCCTTAAGAGAATCAAAAAGAATATATAAAGAACAGATACAGATCAGATCATACACATACATAAACTATATTGTATTTGTATTTGTGTGTGTATGTGTGACAGTTTCTAAACTTCAGCCAATGTATGCCTGTGAACTAAATATTCCAGGCAGATCTGATGTAGAGGGGAAAGGAAATAAATAAATAAATACATAAATAAAATGGTGGATAACATGAAAATATACAATAAAAAAACACATTGAGAACTAAAGGAGGAGAATGAAGTGAATTGAGGAAAAGGGAAGATGTGTTTCTTTATCCAGACATGATTAATGAGTTTCAACTTTCTCTCATTCTGATGTCTGGTATCTCATTGCAGCTTTACATTTCTATATATACTAAATACACAGCATTTTCAATAATAAGAAAATTCGGACTTTATCTATACATACATACATATATATAAATATTTATGTATGTATGTATTCAACAATTTAGGAAGCAACATGAATTGTCCTGTAGTGACTGTGAAATCAAGAATGAATTAAGGGGCAATGGTTTCTTTATAATAATATACTGTTTTGGGGATCACTAAATCCAAGAAAATCCTTGGTGACTAACATTAAACATGCAAAATACTATTATAATAAGGCAATTAATTGTAATGAACGTTGGACAGAATGTATACAAAATGGAATCATTGATAAAATGATTGATGAAGGAAGTGATTGAAGATAGGCATAGTTAAATATTCATTATTGACATCGAGATTCGAAATCATTTTGGGGGATGAGAAACTTCCCACCGATCACTTCCATCCATAACCAAAACCTCCAAATTATCATATCTGTACCTCAAATATTTAATTTTATTTTTTATTTTTTTAAAAAAAGATTAAAAAACAAATGATAAGTAGCCCTTCCTCTCCATGCTCTTCCACGTGCTCAAACCATATTTTATTTTGTTGTATTTTGTTTCATATGCATATATACATATGCATCTGTGTGTGTTGAAGAATTTAATTGAGAAAACCCAACTTGGGGGTGACAAGATAATGCCCATTAATTGGCCATATCTCTCTTGGGTGTTGGGACGGAAGTACAAGCATAGATTTGGAGGGCCATTTTGGTCATTTCACAAGAAAACAGATTTATTCAGACACCCTTTTAAGGGCATTCAAAATTTCAAACCCCACGTGCTGTAAAGATTCTTTTCTTTCACCCTTTTCACAAAAACAAAAAGCTCGAGGGCCAATAAGAAGACAAAATGAGGATCAAGAACCAAATGAAATCAGCTTAAGGGTTCAATAAAAACAGTGCATTGAAATCACACAATGAATTTTGAAAAAAAAATAATAGTAAGGAAACTCTTCTTATTTTACAAGAATTACTACAAACTCAGATTCTTGATTATGTACACCTAAATCAGGTTAAGGGTTCATTAGAATTCAGTGCATTGAAATCAGACAATGAATATTGAAAAAGAATAATAAGAAACTATTCTTATTTTACACAGAATTACTACAACTTAGATTCTTGATTCGGTACACCTAAATCAGGTTAAGGGTTCAATAAAATTAAGTGCATTGAAATCACAAAATGAATTTTGAAAAAAAAATAGTAAGAAACTATTCTTATTTTACACAGAAACACTAAAACTCAGATTCTTGATTCTGCACACCTAAAAATGCTTCTAAAGCTTTAGTTGCTAAATTCAGACAGTCCAACAAAGTAGACGTGCATCCCAGGATTTCATATCATCAGGAAATTAACAGAACATGCAGAGAATGAACAGATCTCAGATCTCATATTCAAATTTCAAATCTATACATGTATTTGATCATTTGTTTGTCTGAAACAAATCTACATGCCAGCATATGTGTAATTGGTATCCTATGTGTTGACTTGAGCATGAATGAAATCCTACTATATATAAAAAAACAAATACCAACTAAGTCCATCTACCCTATCGGTTTCGACAACGTACCTAATAAGAAGATCGGACGAGCACATTCATGTCAGCCATTACACATCCAGAGAGTGCCTGAAATGTTCAATTCAAGAATATATAGATATAGATATCTTACTTCCATCTGGTGATGAATGTAGCAAGACAAGCTAAGTTAAGGCGACTTTTCGACAAATTACTTCTAAGAAATCGTGGATCTCAATCAAATTCAACCTAATAGACATAAATTGGAATTTTATTTGCCTGATTCAATGTTGTATTCTTGATTATTCACCGAAGAAACAAGCACATTGAAAGACGGCGACAAACTCAAGCAAAAACATACACATTCCTCAGTTAAACTAATTCAATTCTCCCATTAACATATGAATTAGGATAACAATTTTCAGTGTCATCAATCAAAGACAGAATAAGTTACATAGAAAATCGATTGAAAGAAAAGCATTCATAAACAAATAACACTAATATTACCTAGTTGTATATTCATGAATCATACGCCCCTTGTACCTCCTCGACTTCCATTTCCGACCCTTCAGAAGTAGGCAATATATTCTCCAAAGAGCCCATCGTCTCGTTCCTTCCCTGCTCCAGCTGCAGATTATCCTTATCTTCGGAATCGCTTCCAAGAAATAAATTGTTTTCTACGTCCGAGATATCCTCAAAGCTCTTAATACCTTTCTTATTCCCCCTATACCCGACATGACTCATTACCTCTTCCTTCCAAACAACTAACGGATGCTTCTCAATCAACTCAGAGCCATCGTAAGCTTCTTTCAAGAAAACACTGAACCTCTTACCCCTCTCCGAAACATAGAATATCCCAAAATGCTTCAACAAAAGCCTCATCAGCTTCTGCGGCATCACAAACTCCCTTCTGAAATACGTCAAGAAATCAGTCACAACCCTTTTCTCGACCGTGAAGCTAAGCAACTCATGCATCACAGCAACTGCCCTTTTATCGAATTCCAAAGAGCCGGGCTCTAAACCACGAGCATCTGCATAAGGAGATAGATATTCCCTCTTCTGGAAATGATCGATCTTCCCACCATATCTGTAAACCTTCTTATATGTCGAAGGGAACTTCAACGGGAAAGACAATGACAGCAATCCCGGAACATGATCGCCGTCTATCTTTCCCAATACCGTCTTCTCCAATTCGGTGATCGACCAATCAGGCTTCCATGAAACAAGCTCCAAATACTCTACATTATCCACAGGCTTCAATGGCTGAACTCTTCGGAACAATTCCGGATACTTATGCACCCAATGCTTCCTAAAATCATGAGGCAATCCGAAATCTCTTCGAAGCTGTGCAATTTTATCAACTGGTAGCCTCTTATCTACAGACATCATCAACATTCTGGTTACATGCTCTGCTGCCTTGTCACTGTTCTGTTCGATTATTTCATCCTCCTTTTTCAGCAATTCTTCGCCCTTTTCTGTCAGTCCACACCACACTGTACCTCTATGGTCCTTGTATAGCTCGAAAAGCTTGGGAGACTTATGGAGGAAATCTGAGAGCTTGTTTGGCCTGGGGAGATTGATTTGCCTGCGGTGCTGCTCCAGATTTCGTAAGGGGATGATGTTTTCCTGCTCCGATTTGAGAACTTGGAACAGATATAGGATTTTGGAAACTACCTTGTGCTTCTGTGCCGCGATTTCGAGGTCGTGCACGCGTTTGTCCTTGCTCCGGTCCTGAACTCTTCTGCTGCTTGTCATCCATCGGTAGGACTGCAGTGCTCTGTGTCTGTGATTGTGTTGATTCGAGAAGAAGATTCTGGAGAACGAATTGAATGGTGGTTGGGGCATTTTGCGATAAATTTTGTGCAGTCAAGGTGTTCGTAAAAATGGCGAAGCGAGTCGAGCAGCAGGTGGTTATGAACAAATCATTCATTCGATCGGATACCTATATCCATTTGCATCGACGAGTGAAGAATTCCGGAATTAATCGACGAATCTCTCCACTCTATCCTCAACACTAAAATATGTTCATCAAACAAAACTATATCGCCTGAGGACGACGGCGTGTAGGCGGTGACGATTCTCCGGTTTCGTCATGTTCAGCCGCTACGGATTCAGAATTACGTGAACTGGTGTTGATTGAAGTCGGCGACTTTTCCCGGCAGCTTCGGCGGCGGCGGCGGCGGCGTCTCTTGGATGAATGAACTCTGACGCTGATTACTATTGTATTTGGGCCTAAATTCGAATTCAATTCCAGTTTTATTTGGGCTTATATGGCCCAGCCCAGTTATCCCTTTAAAATTTTGTCTAGGTTTACATGGACTTTTTAATCATAATTAATCTATCAGTTTTATTAAATATATATATATATTAGGTTTGTATAGCGTCTAGAGTTTTGTGAATTGTAAAACAATTGAATTGAATGCGAAATAAATAAATATTGTGTGATATTTTGAATAAAATTTGAAAATTTTTATGTAATATATTAAATAAAATAAATATTTAATTTAGTAGTTGAAGAAAATGTTTGGAGATAATCTCAAACCCAATCCAAAAAACACAGCTCAAATATTCCTATAACTAAAACACAACTAACCAAACGAATGGTGTTTAAACACTTGGGATAGACATGTGTGCCAAAATATTTTCATATATTTTTTTCTATTGCAAAATTCAAAAAAAATAAAAAAAAATAAAAAAAAAAAATCTTTACATATATATTCATATTATTTTTATCATTATACATTAAATAGCACAAATTGAAATATAAAATATTGAATACATACATAAATAAATATAAACACACATACTGATATACATACGTGAGGACAAAAATGTTTTTCTTGGATGCCTTTTCTTTCCTGTCCTAATGATTTATTATTTACATTTAACTAACCCCAAAAGCATCTCTATCTCTATCTCTACCTGAATTTCCAGTGCACACACAAACAGAAACAGAAACAGAATCCTGTAAAGAAGAAGAAGACAACCAAGAACTATCATCGTCATCGTCATCACCATCACATTCCAAATCCTCAAACCCCCAAAACTCTTCTTCTCCATCTCCCTCTCTCTCCCCCTCCTCCAAATTCCATTTCTCTCTCTCTAAATCTTCTTCCATTAATATCACATCCAACACCTACAACCAAGATCATCATTCACAAAAGCAATATCCAACATTCCCCGAACCACCGGACATTTCAAAAAAAAATACGAAACAGTTAGGCTCCATTTTTAGAAAGACTTTTCGAGTTTTGAAATCAATAATAATTTTCTCAAAAAACATCACGTCAAATACTTAACCTTTTACTATTTTATCGCTATTATCTTTGGAAATATTCAAGAAATAAATAAATGCTTTCAAGGGGGCCGTTGGGGGGCCCTTGCTCGTGTTACGTAGCCTGTACTAACGAGACGAAACCATAATGAAAATATAAACAAAATTAGCTGGATTCATTGTTGGCATAAACATTATGGTTAGGTGAGCAACTAACATCAAACATAGTATTTTAAACACCACAACAAGACAGCTTATCGGCGTAAAGCTGAATAATTAAGCTAGAAATGGCTCTAATGATGTAACATTTCACTGTAAAGCAATATAATTATCTTATCTAAAAATCTCAAATGCCACCGCAACAGAAATTTTGTGTTGTGACATGCAATATAATAGTAGTATTGCAAAATTTTCAGATTTGTCGGTGTGATGAGCAATTAAATTAGATCAAGCGTGCCAATTTGATGTCAAATGTCTTTATCGGGCCATCTAATAAGTGAATAGGAAGTCAGAAAAGTATTTTTGGATTTATGTAGCATTTTTCGATCAGAAAATGACTGATATCTATAGGAGAAGTAGTTTGATTACCTCAGTCATTGTCGGGCGCCAAATTGGAGAAGATCGGATGCAGAGTGAGGCTGCATATGCAAGCCTGGTTAGCTGGATTTCGTCGTAGTTCTCTTCAAGTCGTGGATCGATCACCTCTTTGATACCCCCTCGATTTAGAATAGGTTTTGCCTGTTTGATCAATGAATGGCGAATACGATAAAAACAATGTATGCCATAATTTTGAAAATTCTTGAATTAGAAGAATGTGGATTACCCAACTATGAAGACTCTTGTGAGAGCCATCCACAGGTTTCTTCCCCGAAACGAGCTCTAGTAGAAAGACCCCGAAAGCAAATACGTCTGTTTTCTCATCAACAACACCGTGCATGAAGTACTCTGGCGCTAAATGACTGCAGAATGTGTAACAACAAAGTAAATTCTAGTGTGTTTTTGAAACAATCGGTTCGGCAGATTTATATATTGCAAGAACAATCAAGTACCCAAATGTTCCTTCTATTGGGGCAATCGAGTGATGGCTCCACTGTGAGGGAAGCCACTTTGCCAAACCAAAGTCAGATATCTGAAACAATGAAGAAAAAATAATTATATGTATTCAATAACATAAAGAATGGCGACGACAACAAGTTAATTCGAAGCTGGACCTGTGGTTCGAAATCTGCAGCCAATAAAACATTCGAGGCCTTGATGTCCCTATGGATTATTCTTCTCGGACAGCTTTTGTGCAAGTAATGCAGGCCTCTTGCAGTTCCGGTAGCAATTTTGAATCTTGTTTTCCAGTCCATGGCAGGCGAGTTCTCATCTGCGCCAATTCTCCTTTCAATTTCAACTCTTGTCCCTATGAATAATTATCTGATGTTGTAAAGAGTTTAGTGAGAGTTTACCATGGAGAAGAGAAGCAACAGAGCCCTTGGAGGAGAATTCGAAAACCAGATAAAGTCCATTGTCGATGCAACAGCCAAGAAGTGGAGTTACATTAGGATGGGAAACATGACCAAGAATTCCAATCTCTGTCAAGAACTCCTTCTCTTTCCTCTCATCACTTGCAGTTTTTGTCAATCTCTTGACAGCAACTGTTTGCTCATCTTCTAGAACTCCTTTGTAAACCTCAGCATACCCTCCTTTCCCAACCATATTATCTGCCAAAAACCAAAATATCCATCCATTCCAGTCTGACAGCTTCAAGTTTGAATAAAAACATCAAAAATGAAAATGAAGGTGAACAGGACCTGAGGAAAAGCCATTGGTGGCAGCAAAGATTTCTTCAAAGGAAAAGCACTTCCAGGTGGGCTTTTGGGGATGATCTTCACCACTGAATTCATGAGCTTTTTGCAGTTCTCCATCAAAGCTGTGTCTTTTGAGTGAAAACAGTCTCTTCAGGCTGGATGTACGGATGTATTTCATAGTTATGTACTCAAGAGATTAATCACAAAATGCTTTGCAATAATAATCACAGATTGTGTGCAGACACCTATGAAAAGAGAAACCACTCTCTCTTGCGCTCTTTACTCTCTCTCTCTCTCTCTCTCTCTATATATATATATATATATATTAAGAGAATGGCTGGCTTTTCCACATTAATATATGATTGAAATGGCATGTGTGACTGAGGCCTGAGGGGCCTAAATAATTAACCAAATAGTGGTATTCTTAACCCAGCAAGAAATGAGTGGAGCAGTTGGCTTAAACAAACTTGTAGCAAGAAATCAATAATTAAATAACAATAAAGCTAAGAATGGGCCAAGAACAAGTCGATCCATATATTTGCTGTGTTGAATGTGAACCTTCATTGATGTGCAGCGAATGACAATTGACATGGCAGCATTAAATCATCATGTTTTTTCACTCAGTTCATCACAAAAACCTCTCTCAAACATTTTAACAAACAGGTTATCGGCAGCTCTAGAAGTAAAAGCATGGTGATTCTAAAACTGCAATTTAATTCGAATCAAAAGGCTTGTACCACTTGTGGACAGTGGTGCCCCACCGTGACATCAAATCCCTAACATTCAGCACTACAAAGCATGTGAATTAAAGGAGGGGGAAACTTTCGAACTTCACCTCAAAACAATTAATAAACATACAAAAGAGAGGGCAGATGGAGGTTTAATGCTGCCACGCACACAGGCCTTTCTTATCTGTGCCTCCAACGTCGTTATCCGCCATTAATGGACAGTTAAACCCTCGGCGCTGGTGCATGTTTGCCTTAAAATCATCAACTGTGGCGGGGGCCGTGGATTCCTCCATGTGTGAATTGCTTCGGGCCGTAAGTAGTCGGAGAACAAATGATGATTATCGAGGAACGCTGTTTGTTTGTATTTTATTGGGCCGAATTTACGCTGTCAGGCCCAAGCCCATTGATGCCTTGAAATTTTTGAAGCGTGTTTACTTTGGACTTGTTCTTTTGTCGCTGTTTTTTCGAGTATGCCTTTTGCATAGATAAGAGATTACTTATTTTTATTTTATATTTGTTTATAACGTGATCACGAGATCACTCCTACACCATCCCTTATTAGTTAAAAAATGATCTTGAACTGAACTCCTGAAAAATTATGTAATTTATATAAAATTTATGTAAAAATTAAAAGTTATTTTAATATTAGTGTAAAGTTACTTTTATTTTAATAGAAAAAAAAAATTTTGAATGAACAGATAAAAATAATATAAATATATTTTCAGACGGACAGGGTATTTAATTTCTATATTACTACTATTTTATAATAAATAAAAATTAATAGATTAAAAATAATAATAGTATTTTATTAATAAGAAAGTATTTGATTTTATGTGTAAAATTATCGTCTATCTAACTATTTGTAATTTTAAATAAAAATTAAAAATGTTTTAGTATTAATATATAATTATTTTTTTAAAAAAAATAAATACTTTAAAATAATACATACCAAAATGATAAAAGTGATATTTCGAATTGAGGGGAAGTATTATAAAACATAAACATTACTGAATGGCCTCGACCACATCCAACAGCAACAATTCCCTAAGTTAAAGAGCAACGAGTAAACAGAAAACACGGGACAGACTGCAACACATTATTTATATCTATCTGTAGAACACAAGATAGATGAGCACACACACACAGATAGATCATATAGTATGTATGCATATGCATAGTAGGTGGTTAATTAGGCAGGGCAGGGTTTGTGGATAAGGAAGGACATGCACTGAGCCTGTTTGGTGTTGTCGAAGGCCAGACACCTAATATAGGCGTTGGGGTACGTCTTCTTGCATTCTTCAATCTCTTCAAGAACCTTTGAAGAATCTGTACACCCAAACATGGGCAGCTTCCACAGAGTCCAGTATCTTCCATCGTAGTAATTCGGGATCCTGCTGTTCTCCCTGCGAATATTTCCCATCTAATTTTGGGAAATAAATAAGATATCATACAATATTCTCTTTTTGATTAATCTGAAAATCAAATATTCATTAAAATACCTCATCGAATTCAAGGCAAGGGATCCAGCCCTGGTTGATCATGTAATCGATCTCCTTAGCAATGGATTCTTGCGACAGGGGTGGAAGATACGAGAGTGTCTCGAATTTCTTGTTGTCCACAGGGCTCCATGTCTGCACAAACACAAACCTGTTAACTATTCAAGAATGCATGGCATAATTAATATTGAATAATCTTTCTATTTATTTTACCTTCATGCAGTGTGTTCTTCCTCCATTAGAAACAGCCCTCTTCCCCCAAGAAACATTCTTCCTTCTTCCATGAAAGATCTTGGAGGAATCAGGCCTCAGCCCAGCAAAACAACACCCTGATCCGGCAGCTGCCATTGCCATTTTCTTGATTTGGTTGTCACTGCTTGGGGGGAGAGGGTTTTGAAGGGAAGGGTAGCGATGGGGTGGGGGGTAAGGACAAAAGAAAGAGTGTGGGGAAGTTTGAGAGATGAGGTGGGGGTGGTTACATGAGGGGTGGGCGTGGTGGAAGAAATGAGGTGGTTTTGGGAGTTATGTTAGGGATTCAGGCATTGGTTATATCAACAACCATGGAATAATAATTCTAACTTTCTGATGTATGCAACCAGACATGGTGACAGGTAGTATTTAATAACAAACAAACTCATTTTATAGAAATTAAACCTAAAGAAATGAAACAATGACAATGACACAGGGAAAGCAGTCGTACTTCAATCCCATATATATATTTAGAGAGAGAGAGAGAGAGTTATATAAATATAAATATATTGAAGCAAGTAAGAATGTGTATTTATACCAGCAACTATCCCAAATAGTAGAAATTATCTAACAAGGCATTGAATTTGAGCAATGGTGTAATAATAATATGCCAATGATGAATAATAATGTAACAAAAATCTACTGAATCTAAAGAATTGATTTGAGGCAAACCTCTCAGATTTGCTACGGCTGATCAATCCTCCTAGTGCCAGAGCTTGGTGCAGAATCCGGAGGGAACTGTGGAGCATCTCTTGTTCGATACGGCGTCGGAGAACGTGTCGACGAGCTGTTCCGCAAGTGCCTCGGGATCGTCGCTAAACATGTCGATGAACACTTTCACGATTCGAATCTCTTGCGGCGTAGCTCGCAGGCTGTACCATGTTAGGAACTTCTGTCTGAATGAAGTCTCGATGTGGCCGTCGCACTCCAAGTATCGAATCACTTTCACGTAATACTCGAAGTCTTTATCGCCTGTCGACTCCTCATCGCCTATCCTTTCTCGTATTCGCTTACCTGACGAGCTTCCGGCCTGAGGCTCCTCCCCTGCAAGTTTCCGAAGGTTTTTCCTTCCAACACTTTCTTTGACAATGTCCAGTTTGTAGGGAGTAATCTGCATGCCTGCTCCCGAGCATTCCAGATAGGGAACACGTCCGAGGTTAATCTGAGGTGTGTTAGGACCATGATCGTTACTTGCTTCCTCGGTGATCAGGCGATTCGACGAATCCTTGTTCCTGAATGTTGCATCGACATTTCGGTTGCAGCTAACTTTCTCTAGGCAGGGTTCTTCCAGTAAAGGGACATCGTGTAGATCGATCTCCTTCAAGCTCGATTTCAGACCGTTCGTGTTCAGACCAGGTAAACCTGCAGAAGCGGATTTACTACCATCTCGACTGGTATCGTTCTCATTGGCTTCATCTTCCAACGAAGAAGGATTAGAAAGCGTGCTGCAGTTAGTAGCCGGGCTATGGCTTCTTTCTACTTCCATGTTAGCTTGTCGAGCTTCATCGTCAGATTTTAATGTCCTGAACTCATACTCCCAAAACGATACCTCTCTATCCTTGTCGAAGGTCACAACCTTGAGGAAATACTTTGTATCGGGAGTCAGCCCGGAGAGTAGAACCTTAGTGTTCAGTAACAGTCTGCAAGTAGGCTTCTCCGGATAGGCTGCATCATCAGATTTTCGATGCCATAACATGTAAGTTGCTAAGTTTCCCAAATGTGAGTCGACAGGAACCAGAACGACCTTCAAGGATGATGCACCAATGTCTTCAAACTTGATGAGCTTTGAGCCAAGTACGTCGCAATCTATACAACATTACAAATTGTCATGCAATAAACAACATTGTATCACAAGACAGTGTAAGGGAAAATAAGAGAGGACCTGGAGGAGCATCAGACACTCTTTCAGAAAGAATCGAGTCAAGAGTCTCGACAGCAGAAGCACAAAGACTCTGAATTTCGGGGCCAGATGAAAGCCTATTGACAATCCCTCTAGCCCTTTTTACGGGTAGACCAGTGAGAGGGCCGACTTCTGCTTCTAGTTTCTCAACAGCCTCATCAACAATTTGGGACAGATTTTGATAATGTTTTGTCCCGCCAAGAATCTTTTGGCATAAGGAGAGCCTATAGCATAATATGTCGACCCGCCTAGTGTCCCTAGCCACAAGTAGTTGCTTCCTCCAAGAACTGCAATATTTATTTAATCTACATTGTCATTAGATGAACCTCAAGGCGCAAGAAAAGCTGTAAAAATGGAAAAATTATAAGAAGATCAGAAGCCTACCCGAGCAAATCGTTCACTTTTCCACAAGATACGCAACAGAAACTCCCATCCAGTCCTTTATCCTGCCTATCCTTCAATATGCCAGAATTTTCATGTCGTAAAGCACATTCCAGGTGGCAGGACATACCACACGACACGCCATGAAATGGAGGGTCTGCATTGCAAATTAGCCAGAGACTGGGGTCCTTATTATCATCAAATTTTCGACAAATGCAGCACGAACACCTTTTGCAGAACACATCATCGCAAGTCATCCTAGCCTTGCAAGCTGCATTCTTGCAATACACAGGATTGCGCAAATCAACATCCATAACACTAGTCGCAGCAGAGTTTCCTGCCACAGGCCAATGGGTGGGGTTGTCAATTTTCTTTTGCCTTTTGGGAGTTCTCTCACTGTTTTCGGAAGAAAGCTGTGCTTCAGAAGCATTAGCATCACCCTGGTTGAGTGCCTTCTTCTCGCACACAATTTTCAGAAGGTGTTCTATTATTTTCGACTTTGTTAAGCCAGTGTATTTCCTCTCTTTCCCGAGCTCTGCACAGAGAACCTGCAATATATCCTGCCGGCTCCACATGTGAAGAATTTCTGCTCCACTGTCCGACCACTTTGACACTTCATACACTATTTCCCTTTTCTGCTCAATGCTTAGCTTACTACACTTTGATGGATCAAATACCAATTCTGGGCTTAGAGACAACAAAAACTCATCATCAATGCTGTGAAAACATTAGACATAAAAATGGAGAATCAAGGAAGCACAATAACCAGAACAAGGAAAACACAAGAAATTACAACAATAGAACCACAAAGCTTCCATCTTGGAGATTAAATGCACCGTAATCATCAACAATGGAGAATCAAGGAAGCACAATAATCAGAACAAGAAAAGAAATAAAAATTACAACAATAGAACCACAAAGCTTTCATGAACAATGATGATACAAACCAATCGAATCTAACCTACCTTCAATGGAATCTATAAACAAGCAAAGCAGCACAGCATCCCACAGGTCTAAAAGAACCAAATACCACTAATTCGACCGGTGAATAAAAAACTCAATGCCTTATCCAAGCAGGTGGAGAGTAGCTGTATATAAAAGGTTTTGACTTAACAAAATATAGATAAGCAATGTAGCACAACATTGCTGTGAACACGAGAGAAGAGAAAATGGAGAATCAAGGAAGCTCAATAATCAGAACAAGAAAAACATGAAAATTACAACAATTGAACCACAAAGCTTTCATCTTGGAGTTTAGATGTACTGCAATCATGTCAATGGAGTCTATAAACATGCAAACAGCACAGCATCCTACAGGTCTAAAAGAACCAAATACGACTAATTCAACCAGTGAATAAAAAAAAAACTCAATGCCTAATCATAGCAGGTGTAGAGAGTAGATGCATATAAAAAAATTTGACTTAACAAAACATAGATAAGCAATGTAGAACAGCTCCACCAATAAATTCCATATTGTCCCCACGTCTATAATCAGCTAGCGGTGCCTAACAAATTAATAAGTACAATCTTTGTATGGCACCAACAATCAATACACCAAACCTTTTTAAACGAAATTAGTTCAACAATCATAGCCAACAATCTTGCAAAAGTTCAAAATAACAGCTGGCAATCCACTGCACCTTCATAATGAATCGCCTTTTCATCGCAAGCATCTTTGAAATAATTCAGAGAGTATTAAAACGAGAGTAGGTGATTATTGAAATCTGAGGCGTTTGTTCGCAATAAAAATGGGGGTGAAAAAATTAAATTGAAAAGAATAACTGAAAGCAGGACAAAAGGCATCAATGGAGTGTGCGTCCATCAGAGCATGCGTGTCTCCATCTCTGTGGTGTCAATTTCATCGAGAAAGGAATCTATGGAAATTTAATAATCAATCAATTCAACAAGCAACGCCGAATCAACGCGTTTAATTGGAGCATCAAACGGATCGGGAATGAATCTAACATTCTATTATTCACGAAATTATCGATAAAAAATTAGAAATTAAAGCACTAGTAGATTTAATCGTTCGCAAATCGAAGAATCGCAATAAGAACACCAACAATTTTTCCCGAGTAAAAACCGAAGCAGAAATCCTACCCTCCAATGAAGAAGCATCCATGGCTACGGCGTTTGATTCAGCAACAAAAGACTATACCCACATTAACACCGCAAACCTGAAAGCAATATATATATATATATTATTGAGAGTCAGAGTCCCAAAATACAAACATAAAGAAATGAGTCATGCGTGTTTATATTGAAGATTCCTTCTCACGCACACAGATACATACACACATATAGAGAGAGAAAGAGAAATAGAGAGAGAGAGAGAAGGTGGAAAAGAGTGAGAAAGAATACGAGTATCAAAACGAGGAGAAGAAATCCATGAAAGATGGTCTTTTCATTATCCGAAGCACAATTTAATGTGAGTTTGTTTGTGTATTAATACAAAATATATATATATATATATGAGAGAGAGAGAGAGAGAGAGAGAGAGAGAGGGGTTAGAGTGAGAGAAGGAAAAGCCAGACGAAGAAAAAGTGGTAGAGATAATATATATACTCGAAGAAGAGTTGCTAGTGCTTAAATATGTCTGTGGGAGTTATTCGGAATTTTAGATAAATGTGAGGTGTGTTCTTTAAAAAATAAATTAAAAAAATACATATATATTTTCTAAGAAAATATTAATATATCAAATTTGTTTATTATTTTATATTTTTATTTAAATTTTTATATTTTACATCAAAAAAATTTTACTTCAAATTATCTGACCGGTCATTGTCTCTATTGTAGTATTTTTTAAAAAAATTTAATGTAATACTCCGTCAAATTTCATAGATGAATTAGTGTCAAATTATCCGATGTTGAATATAGATTAAAATTGATTGAATAGATTAATTAGGTCGACCACACGTTTATTGTCGAAAACTCTAGTATAAAATTATTTGAACTTATTAAATTAGTAGCATTTGAAAATTTAAATAATTGAAATAAACTTAGATTAATACATGATCCAAACAATTTTCATTTCCGATAGTTCTAAACAACTGGTTGAAAGAAATTGAAAAATATGTAGATAAATCGTAATCTTTTTTTAAATAAATTTAAATTTGTATATATATATATAAATTGTTAATAAATTTAAATTTTAAAATTTTAGATTATAATTAATTAAATAATTATTTATTTATTATTTTTATAGAGGTAATAAATTATTCATAAAAGTTAATACATGAGTTTTGACTGTATTTATTAACAAATGTAACAAATCTCTTTGCAATAAAAAATGACAAAATAATAAAAAAGATAATTATAACATATGATCTTATGTATACATATAATTATTGTGAAAATAGTGTTAAAGTTAAAGATATTTACAGTGTTTTTCTTTTTCTAAAATTTTCAAATCTTTTATCATTTGCTATTTATAAAAAAGTTCATAAAATACTACAGAGTGTATTTGTTTTGTGAAATTGTTGAAGAAAAAAAAAATTATGTAAAACATAAGAACTCGTTAAGAAAATAGAAAAATAGTAAATAGATGTAATTTATTGTTATTATTTTATTTTATTTTTGAAAGAATAGTATTAAAAAAAATTAGAAAAAGTAAAGCCTATTTTAATATGAATCTCGGGTGTGTTTGTTTGGGGGTTTGGATTTCGAATTGATATTTGAATAGTAAAATTTTTAAATTTGAATAGTTGTATGATGTGATATAAATAGGTGTTGATGTGATCTTTTGAATATAAAATTAATTTTTAGTATAATATAAAAAAAATAAAAATAGGTGTTTAATTTGATATTTTTTTAGAAAAAAAAAATGGAATAAATAATGAAAATATAATCCAATCCTCCAAACAAACACAAAGTTTTTTTAAAAATAAAAAATAAAAAATAAAAATTCAAAGAAACAATTTCATATAGAAGTCAGAAAGCACGCTTATTAAGGTCTGAAATTCATTTGAATTTGACTCATTAATTATTAAGTACAGAATCAACATCTTTTCTTGAAAATAAATAAATAAATATATAAATAAAAATAAAATGTTTTGAATAAACTTTCAAAATTGATCTAAATAGAGCCTACAAAAGTGTATCCTAATAAAAGTAAAGTGAAATTCTTCCCTAATTTTCCATTGTCATACACTGAATTTGCTTACTTTGCATTTTACTCTTATTTTAATTTGTGTTTTCAGTGAAATAATTATTGGATTTCATTTTTTTTATATAAATAAGAGAATATATTTTAGTAAAAATTTTGTTGATAATACAGAGTATAAAAAATATAAGAGTTAAATTTTAACAAAAAAAAAAATGCATCCCTTATTTTTCACCACTCCAACAATTTTTTTCTCTGAGCATAAAATATTAAGATTCTGTATATAATACTTTTACCATTTTATTATTTTTTATATGTGTAATGTTATTGGTATTTTAAATATTTTTACAATTATATTTCAATAAAATATATGTAATATGGATATAATTTTATAGACAATAAAATTTTATATAATACAAATGAATAAAAAATATATTTATTTATTTATCATTATCATAAATTAGTTTTATAAAAAATGAGGAGTTTTAAAGGTAGATAAAAATATTTGTTAACTGATAAAGATATATAAATAAAAGAGTTTTAAGTGGGTCTTACGTGTAAGATGTTAAAAAGTTTAATTAAATTGATTTATATTTGTTAAGTATATTTAAAATTGATAAACTAAAAAAAAAATGAAAAAGAGTGACGGGAGGGAGTACTTTTTATGTCATACATATGTTTATTTTTTTAATAATCAAAAAGTATTTGTTTTTTTTCAGTAAATAATTATATTATTTTTTATTATAAAAAATGGCAGTCAAATATGTAACTACATTAAAATACGTATTTAAAATTTTGAAGACATCTAAAAATGATGGAGGGATTATCAATATAGTAATTATTTAAAAAATAAACATATAAATACAAAATAAACAAACGTTGTTATTATTATTATTATTATTATTATTATTATTATTATTATTATTATTATCTAGATCAACCTATCGTTAGTTGACCAGCGGTAGGCTTATTTAGGACTTTCAATATTGATCCAATACATTTGTTTTTAGTTGGTTCTTTAAAAAACAAATATTAGTACTAATAATAGATTGATATTTGATTCAAATAATTATTTTAATATATTGAAATATTATAAATAAAATTATATATATTTTTAAACAAAGAATTATAAAATTGAATAAAAAATATATAAACAAATTTGCTAAAAATAATTACACCTATAAGATTTGGGAATGTGAAGCGGTGAAATCTCCAACTCCTTGACACAGAGGTTGGAGGTTCCTTAGGCTAACAACACAGAAAAAACAAAATAAAAAATAAATTAAAAAAAAAAACCTACAATAACCTTGCATTTTAATTTGAATTTATTGATATGTTCAATATATCAATTATTTTAAAAAGACAATATATATAAATTTATTCTAAATCTTTTCTACAAATTTATACCCTCTCGGTCTCTTAAAAATCTATCTATTTTTTTTATTTTAGTCATTCTCATAACAAAGTATCCATTTCATTTTTTTAGTAATTATATTATCTACCTAACATTACAAATATCCTTCAAATTTACAATATATTGCATAAATGTCATTACATTTATATCATACAATACTGATAGGGTTAATTTAGTCTTTTTACCTTTATTTATAGTTTATCTCAATATAATATTAATATTTATAAAACTCCATGCAAAAAATTAATGAATATATAGATATGAGACGGATGAAGTATTAAAAACAATATTTCATTCGTCTCACTTAATTCGTCTCATTCTTTTATATATTTTTGTCTCATATAAAAATATAATTATATACTTTAATCACATTTTAAAATTTATAGTATATAAATTTTTTATTTTAATTAAACTATTTTCAGTCATTTAATCTTAATTTATAATTATTTTTACTAATGCACTTATTTATTACTACATTGATACCTAAATCACATTGTCTAAACTAAACAAGACAAATTTACTGGAATAGTAAAAAGTACTCCCTCCGTTCCAATACAATAGCCCTATTTACTATTTTTGTCCATCTCAAAATAATAGTCTAATTTACATAAACAATCATATCACTATAAAACTACATTTATTTTTTTATTATTATTACACAATTGTCATTACTTTTTACACTAATACACTCACAAGGGCAAAAAAGTCTTTTACACGTACTTTTTACACATTACCAACATAATATCAATATTTCTTAAATCTCTTGTCAAACACTAGGGATGAGCAAAATATCCGAAATCCGAAAATTCAATCCGAACCAAACCGAAATTTAAAATTTGGTTCGGATTTTTCGGATTCTTGGATTGGATCGCATTGAATTTTTAACAAATTTCAAATTTTCGGATCGGATTGGATCGGTATACTTAAAATTCGAACAAATCAGAAATCCGAAATATAATATTTTAATATATATTTTTATTATACATATTTAATATTTTATTAAAAAATATTATATTTTAATATAAAAAACTCAAATTTGTTAATTATATTTTAATATATTTAATTTTTATATATTATAATATAATATATTATATTATAGTTTTGGGACGGTTGGGTTCGATTCGAATTGATTTTTTTTAAAATTTCAAATTTTTGAATTAATTCGAATTTGATAAAATCTGAACAAAAAATTCGAATACTCACCCCTGTCAAACACAGCCCAAATTATAGTTTGGGACCGAGGAAATAATAGATATTCATGCATTAGTCACAACCTTGGGAATAATAATAATAATAATAATAATAATAATAATAATAATAATAAGTGGCGGCTGAGTGTACAATCCTCTTTTACTTTTTCCTGCTAATTCTATGCATTGGATTGTTGTACCTTTACAAGATCATACATTTTCTGCTGTTCTTTTTAATATTATTATTATTTAAAAAAAAAAAAAAACTTTATAATAAAGTATTACATCAATTTAGTACTTTGATCGAGCTTCGATAACCGTAATTTCTTATGTACAATTCGGGTATGTATGTTTCATTTTCTTACTATTTTTTAATAGTTTCTGATGTTTTAATTTTCTTTAAAATAAAATAATTAATTTATATGTAAAATCGTTGCATTTTTATTGAATAGTAATAAAGATTGAGAAAAGTTCAATAAAGAATTTCTTTTGTCATTTAGTCCTTACAATTCTCATTAATTATAATTTTTTTTTTCCCAAGAAACATCACTTCTAAACTATTGTTCAAAAATAGAAAACAAAAAATCACTAACTATTAGTCAAATATTAATCTATTAATGAATACATATATATTTGTTTTATACGTCAT